ATCTACACCCAATGGCTCTTACTCCAAATTTTCTAATTACTAAAAGTGCAACCAAGGAAAACTGCTTCCAATCTTACATTGCATCCAGCTATCCCCTCTGGTTAAAGAAGTATATCTGTAATGTCTTCTTTTCATTTGGATCTTTTGTCTCTCCCTTTAACCTTGCTCAAAGGTTCATGTGCTTGTATAAAACTTTAATTAAGTGTTAAAGAAAAAAACCTTAATTCCAATATAATATCTCGAATGAAAAATGAGTTTGGGTATGTTCTTATAACGCTTAAAATCATTGCATTGGCAAAGGAGGAAAAAGTATTGAACACAAAAAGATGGTGAAAGCTGAAAAAGTTAAACTTGATTAAACAATACATTTGAGACAAAGTTCTTCTTTGAAGTTGCTATTCCCATTTCTGTTTTCTAGTGTTGTGAAACCAAACGAATAAAAAATAATAATGGAGAGCCAGCCACTTTACACCAATAGACCAATCAAATGGACGGTCCAAATCCTATTAAGTTATCTTTATAGTCTACAACAATAATAGAGTTGATGAGGACAAAACAGAAATCATTAACAAAGACAAAAACAATAACGTTAAACGTGGTCGAGGCGGTGCATTGTTTCCAAATATCATCCCGAAGAAATTGTTGTCATTACTGCTGCTGCTTCCTCTTGACGTACCACCTATAGCACTCGACCCTCCTCCATATCCAGAATAAGAATTGCCACTCTGCCCTTCATCATCCCTGTTCCCCACCCAAAAAAATCATTTTCATTAGAAGAAGTTATGTCTGAAAAGATCGACCATGTAATGCTAATTCCAAGCATATTAAAGTCAAAATGATACATTAATGCGATTTAAAAGGGTATAATGGGACCATTAAAAATGGAATCATCTTTTCAACATAGGGGTCCCATCTCTCTTAACTACATTTTCCATTATAATGAAATAATAACCCACAAAAGATTTATTGACTTTTTCGTATTATATATTGAAATGTGGTTGCATCATTAATCAAAAATATCTTAATTAAAAAGATATAATTGTGACATACATCTCTACCGACCATATTCCCAAATGGACAAAAACTTGAAAGAGTAGAGTCTAAAAATAATTCAGTCACTAGTCAAGTTGGTCGGTTCTCCACGCAGACGATCACGTGCATCGCCTACTTGAGTTATGCTAAATTGCTAACGTATTATATTCTCAAATGAGCTACTTTAATTTTCCAAAACCAGTGAGTTAGGCATTGATTGGTAACCATGCGGAATGGCGGAATGGCTTATGAAACGCGATTCCGTAAGAATTTTGCCAATCAACAAAATGTTGCGGAATGAAAAAAAAACGCAAAAACGCAAGTTTGCATTTTTGCTGACAAAAATATAAAGAGAAATTTTATTAAGTGGAAAAGTGAGTTTTAGTAGATTATGGTGGAAAGATTACAAACTAATATTTTCATATTATTAAATTATATGCTAATACTATCTTAAAATATAAAATACATATCAATAATTTTTAATGATAAATAATTATGTTGTAAATAAAGTTCTATTATAATTTCTATATTAAAAAAATCTATTTTTAAAATGTACTGAAAGATATGTTAGATATTTATAATAAAAACTAAAAAAATTTTAATAAATTTTAGTTGTTTTCACTTTTGTAATAATTAGTTTAATTATTACTAGTTGTTTTTTATAACAAATTAAAAACCATATAAAATATTTTAATCAATTTAATATATATTCCGCCATTCCGCAAATTTTAAATTTTTCCATGACTTAATTAATTTTTTCCGCAACTTAACTATTATTTCCGCGATTCCGCGATTACGTGATGATTACCAATCGGAGCCTTAGTTAACTTCCTTATCATTAATTCAAGTGATTTTTAAATTTTAATCAACTCAACCTACAAAAATATCTATAACCGTGGTTATTAATGATATAAGTAACTAAAGTCCAAAAGAAAGGACTAACTAAACACACAACAACAGCAATATACGCTAATCACGCGGTTTCACAGCTAATCTAATTATAGTAACATTAAACATGGATATGAATAATCATGCACTCTCTTTAATGTAAGTATTTTCAAGTATTTTTTAATGACAAAACAAAAAGAAAATCATAAAAGTGGAAAAAGTACCTGGGACCGCCGAAAACGCCAGCGTTTTGAGTGAGCTGGTCTACGAGAGCAGCAGCTTTAGGCTCCACACTGGAAGCTTTAGAGTACATTGTGCTCACTCCTTCACCAGAAGCCACAAAGAAAGCTCCGTTCTCCATCAAATCTCCTTCCGTTCTCCAGTTCCAATTCGCCCACTCACCATCGTCCAACGAGTCCACTCGCTTCGTCACCTGCTTCAACAAAAAAATCTCTCGGGTTCAGCAAAATGTAGTTCACGCGCCGCCATGGAGCGTGGTGTTAAAAAGGATAATGAAGAAGAAAAAAAGTGTGTGGACAGAGAGAAACAGCCCACATGGCTGTCAAGCACTAATACTATATACATACCATCACTGTCTCACTACTACTTGACCCAATTCTTACAAAAATAAGATTCTTTTACTATGTCTATGCAACACTATTTCATTGCATAACATTTTCACACTGTAGTATACTATATTTCCAGATACTTTTTCCTCCTAGCAACGGATTAACAACTGTCCATGTGAAAGATGAACTGGACTCATAGGACCATCTATACTCAACATCTTTACTATATCAATTATTCAAAAGATAAGTTATCTGCTTAAAAGTTGGACCCCTATGGTATAAAGCCTAAATCTTTCCACTAGTCTAACTACAACCCTAACAAAATCTGAAAAAAATGAAGCAAAAATCTACTAAAAACAACCATAAAGGAAAGATTGTTGGATATGGGCAATCCAAATACTTGTAATCAAAATCTAAATTTTAGAATAAAATAGCCTAAAATCTCCAACTAAACCCCCTGAAATTTTCTGAAACAATTAAGCAAAAGCTACTCAAATAACCAGTAAAGGAAAGATCTTTAGATATGGGCAACTCTAAAAAAAAACGAACTTGTATAAAACCAAAACCAAAGTTTCAAACTTTTACCTCTTTGGCGCTAGGATCAGAAGGAGCAATGTAACGATTCCCTTGACTATTAATAGTAGGATTACCACTACCACCAATAGCATACATCTTCCAAGACGTAAAATCATTATTGACAACATGAATATACCCTCTCCGACACCTCGGCATCCTCTGAACAAGCCCCTGTCCGAAATGATTAAACGCAATCGTGACCTGCATCCCCGTATCCAGCACATACTTATCATCATGCCCCAGCAGCATCACCTCATCATGATGCGTAAAATAATTATTCGAAATCGTAATCGCCGTCGAGCCCAACACCACATCAATAAGCCCATCAGTACAATGACTCAACGAACAGTGGTCGACCCAGATCTTCTGAGATCCGAATATAGAGATCCCGTCACCGTCCGATCTACCTCTCCTGCCGACTTTCGTCGGCGACGCGGCGACGACGGCTCCTCCGGAAGGTTTGCAGTCGTAGATGTGGACGTTGTGGATGATGACGTGCTGGACGTACTGGATGGTTAGGCAGCCGTTGCCGGTGATGTGGACGGCGGAGCCGCGGCCGTCGATGGTTTTGAAGCTGTTGATGATGAGTTCTTGTTTGAGGCGGATGGAGGTGTCCGAGGAGAAGATGATCCAGAGGGGCTCTTCTTGGATGACGGCGTGGCGGAGTGTGCCTGGAGTTGGGTTTGCGGGGTTGTTGTCGGAGGAGTCTGTGACGACGTAGATCTTGCCGTTTTTGCCGCCGAGTGTGCCGCTGCCGAAGCCGATTGAGCAGTCCGCGAGGCGTTGCCGGTTGGTGGACCAGTCGGAGGAGGAGTCGCAGCGCCAGCAGTCGTCGATTGGGTTTCCGGTACGGCAGGATGAGGAGGAGGAGGAAGAGGAGGTGAGTTGTCTCCGTGAGAGGGATTCATTGATTGTTCTGTGGGAAATGGAGGGAGAAGAAGTGAGTTTTGTTTATTTTTCGGGGAAAATGTGGAGATTAGAGAGAGAGAGAGTATGTTTTTTTTACCTGGTGACGTGGAGAGCGACGGTGTCGGGAGAAGGGTGTTGGTGAGGGAGAGTGAGAGTGAGATTTAGGGGTTGTGTAGCTTCGAGGAGTGTGAAGAAGAGGTATAGAACGAAAATGGAGATGGAGATGGAGAAGTGAGGAGGAAGCATCGTTAATGGCGGATTGTGAGGTTTGAAGAGTATACTTGGAGTGTGTTGAGAGTGTCAAAAGAAGAATGCTGGTTGACAAGTGTGAGGAAGGAGAAGTAGGATAGAAGGATTTGGAATCCGAGAGAGAGGGAGCTCCGAAGAAAAAGAAGAAGAAGAAGTTTCTCTCTCCTCTTTTTTTCTCTTGCTTCTGCTCTCTGCTGGAGACAGAGGATTATGGGTCTTCTCTTGAGCTTTTATTCTGTTTTCAGTTTTGAGTTTTGAGCTTTCACATTATAACTTAGCTAGCACTTACATTGGGCCTATTGGGCTTAGTATTGTCTGTCATGGCTTTTTATATTCCCCTTCGCATTAATTAGATAAGTGCCTGGTTTGGTTCGGTTCAGCAAACACAAACCAATAGGTTCAACATACATCAACTAACTAAATGATAAACTCGAGCATTTTCCTTAACTATACAGTCTACATCCGAGTTTGATCCTTTTTTTTTGCATTTCACCGAATTAATCTAATAAATCGAAATATAAAATATATTGGTTTAATTAAAAACACACATTGGAAACAAGGCTAGTAGGTCATCGTCTTGAGCTTTTGATTCTCTTTTTGTCCGATTTGTGTTTCCTCAGGCACGGAGTTTGGTTAGACTAAACCAAGCCCGTATTTGTATTGGGCCTATAGGCTTAGTAGTGTTTGGCAACATGGTTTACTATATCCCTCCTCAGATTATGTCTGTGTGGCTCATAAATCTTTACCCTTTCAATTTCCTCAAATTCCAAATTCCCCAAAAAATGGCTCTCCGATCTATCAAACCGCCGTCCTTGATTACTCCCGCCGCCGCCGCGGTCTCCTCCTCAATCGTGAACAAGCCTCAGTCTTTCAGATTCGCCGTCAACAACCTCCACCAACCGATCTACATCATCCGCTCAATTCTCACACCCAGACTCAAACCATCATCCCCCGCCGCCAAATTCCGATGCTCAGCGTCGTCTGCGCTCACGCCGCAGCTTAGAGACACGCTGGAGAAGCTGGTGAACTCGGAGAAAGTCGTACTCTTCATGAAAGGAACCAGAGATTTCCCGATGTGCGGATTCTCGAACACGGTGGTGCAGATCCTGAAGAATCTGAACGTGCCGTTCGAAGACGTGAACATTTTGGAGAACGAGATGCTGAGACAAGGGCTGAAAGAGTACTCCAGTTGGCCTACGTTTCCCCAGCTTTACATCGGCGGTGAGTTCTTCGGTGGTTGTGATATCACTCTTGAGGCGTTTCAGAGTGGTGAGTTGCAGGAAGTGGTTGAAAGAGCTATTTGTTCTTGAAGTTGGATGATACTGGTTTGATTGTTGATACCTGTGTTTGGCTTTTGTAATGATTTCTCTATGTCCTGAAGAAACGTGTCCTTGATGTCTCAGAGTTTATGTCTAGTAACTTAAGAGACGTTGTGATGGAACTCGATACATTATAAAAGGGTTTCTTTGATGTATAAGATTTTATGGTTGATGGTAACACGAGACATATTGGATGATGGAACTAGCTGTAGAACAATAGTACTACCAATATATTAAGAGGTCTCCTTGTTGATTTGATCTATTAGATATGCGCCTCTTTTTGTTTAGTCTGCATTTTTGTGTTGTTGAGATGTTACAAAGATCAATTTTTGAAGATTCCAGTAACTTCCTGAGTATTATTAGAACTTTAATCTGACTAGATGAGAGTCATGAGTCGAGTTGATATTACAATCTTGAGTCTCTTAACTTCAGAAACATATTGTATCACCAAGTGCCTAAAACTCTTTACATTACAATCTTGAGTCTCCTTCTTGATTTGATCCTTTTGACATGTGTTTTTCTTCCATTTGTTCGGTCTGTGCTTTGCTGTTGTTGAGGTTCTACACAGATTCAATCTTTGAAGATTCAGTATCATCCTGAGCATTATTGTATTTTGTCTCTGACTAGAGATAGTCATGTTGTGCTCATTCTTGAAGATGGTTCTGAAAGCAAAACCAAGTTTAAGAGCTTTTAGTTCCAAGGATTCTTACAAAATTCACTAGTACAACCACTCTATTTTGATGATCATACGCACAATGATCCTTAGCTAACAACATTTTTCAGTCTAATCTCATTCAGAATCCTCCATGCTGCTGCCTGCATTTGATTTGTCAAAAGATTTTCCACTGGACTGGATTTGAGTCAATGGCACGCCACTTAAAAAAAATCTGTGTGGTTAGAAAATATATTTTTTAAGTCAGTGGGTGAAGACCACAATATTTTTGGCGCTCACTTTTTTAATCTTTGCAGTTGATAAATGGCAAAAAGGTAATTTATAGATTCGGTCCTTGCCTGAACCACACAGAGCAGATAGAGATATCAACGACATAACATAAGATAGAGAATCCACGTGGCCCAATGAAATAGCCACGCAGGCCCTCTCTACCCAATAACAATCTGAGTTTAGATTCGCTTCCTACAAAACCTTACTTATACGATCACTCTTCCACACTGACAACATCCAAAACACCCTCTCGTTCACACCTTTCTTCTTTGTGGTAAACAAAAAGTGAGACATCCATGGCGTCGAACTCGCTCATGAGCTGCGGCATCGCCGCCGTCTACCCTTCTCTTCTTTCTTCTTCAAAGTCTAAATTTGTCTCCGCCGGAGTTGCTCTCCCCAACGCCGGGAACGTTGGCCGTATCAGAATGGCCGCTCACTGGATGCCTGGTGAGCCAAGACCAGCTTACCTCGACGGTTCTGCTCCTGGGTATGCAACTCACATCTCTCAACTCTGTTAGATAGCTGTTTAAAGCTTCATTTTTAAGTTATAGCATGCTTCACGTTTCAAAAAATCATCTCATTTACTCTGTTTCTTGCATACTACGTAACCTCTTAGATGTGTCTGGAGAGAGAGGATTGAAACCCTTTTTCATGACATAATGACGCTGACTTTAAAATTGGTGGTCGTTTGAAAAGTTTCAGTTTTTTTTTAAGCTATTGTGTTTACTAAAATGTGCAGTGACTTTGGGTTTGATCCACTTGGACTTGGAGAGGTTCCAGAGAACCTTGAGAGGTACAAAGAATCAGAGCTCATCCACTGTAGATGGGCTATGCTCGCTGTTGTAAGTTTTAACATTTTCTTCAATATCCAATCTTTTTGTCTTTATTTATTAAAGTTTTTTTTTATTAAGGTTTTGATCTAATGCAAAAATGATCTTATGATTTTGTGTGAAAATGTAGCCAGGGATTTTGGTACCAGAGGCTTTGGGATACGGAAACTGGGTTAAGGCTCAGGAATGGGCAGCAGTACCTGGAGGACAAGCCACTTACTTGGGGAACCCAGTCCCTTGGGGTACTTTGCCCACAATCTTGGCTATAGAGTTCTTAGCTATTGCATTTGTTGAGCACCAGAGGAGTATGGAGAAAGACCCTGAGAAAAAGAAGTACCCGGGAGGTGCATTTGACCCTCTTGGATACTCCAAAGACCCAAAGAAGTTCGAGGAGTTGAAAGTTAAGGAGATCAAGAACGGTATATAAACACTTTACCTTTCTTGATCTTTTTTTACTAAAATGTATATCTAATGTTATTTGTTGTTTTTGTTGTTGGGTATGTCAGGGCGCCTTGCGTTGTTGGCGTTTGTAGGCTTCTGTGTACAACAATCTGCCTACCCAGGCACAGGACCATTGGAGAACCTGGCTACTCACTTGGCTGATCCATGGCACAAAAACATTGGCGATATTGTTATCCCTTTGAACTAGTGACTTGTAAAAAAGGAGTAATATATCCTATGAGCTTTATGTGTAATGAAAGACAGATTGTGAAACATAGTTGATTTTCATAATCCCAAGATCTGGATTTTTCTTTCATATAAACCTAAAAGAAACCAATTTTCTGATGTTACTGCTGCATCAAGGTAAATCCTCTTTCCACTATTTTTTTTTTTGAATTATATAAAGGTATTCCGACATCCACTAAAATGGATCCAGATTATCCATGTGTTACCCACTTGTCGGTCATGTCTGTGGAGATGCCGCAAATTTAATTCTACTATTATTTTTTATTTATCCCCTCAGTACTTTAGCTTCTCCACAGAAAAATATTTGGATCAAAACTGCATCTGATCTCTTTAATTCTGGATCTTTGAATAAATACTTCAACCAGGAACAATATAATAAAAATTATATTCCTTTATTGTTTTGTAGGTGAAGATTTGTTGAACGTAATGTGAAAAAGGTGAAAAAAAAGTTTATATTACAAAGGTTTGTGTTGGATATGATTTGTAGAGAAATGTTGTTATATGATTTTCTTCCTTGATAAGGTTCTGAGTACTCTGCCCATCTTGTATCAGTTTTCATGTTTCTTTTCGAATTTGGTTTCTAATCCGTTTTGTCATCCTAGCAGCTTGTTTGGAAACCTCTGATGTTTTTTTTTGCATGCCGAAGATTTGAATAATCAGGTTTATTTCGTAAAGCAATGACTCGATTGAATCATTGAATCACAAAATAGAGCTTTTTACTGCAAGTTGTCTGTCCACCGCAAACTAACCTCCTAAGCTTTCAAAATTGGCCAAAGAAGAGAAAAGCTGGGTTAATAGAAAACTAAACCTGTTGGAAAATACTTATAATCCTTTAGACTGAGTAAATTGTTGATGGTAAAAAGAAATGTGAATCAAATGTCTTTTAAAATTCTAAATAAAAATTCTTTCATTTAGATGAAATGTAAAAGTAAAAAATCTCATATTACTTATGACAAAAGAAAATTTGTAGTATAAATATGTCATTCTATATTATTAATGTTCAATAACTTGTGGAGACAATATAAAAAAACTGAGATAGGTCATTATGCAAAACACACACTGGTATGCGCTGCTATCAGACTGGGCTAGTCTTGGATCCACAATAAGATGTTTTTTAGGAACAAATTCATAATAAAATATTTTCATAATTTTCAAAATAAATCCAAACAGACGAAATCTAATTAATTAATCTTGATACATTTAAACGTTTGAGATTGTGTCAAGATACATTAAAAAACTTTTAGATAATTATCAGAATATGTTTATTCCTCATCTCGCACGGTAAACATAAATATTCTAGAATATTCTTTCTTTCATCGTTATTTTTGAGTTGCCAGTCAAGTTTTTTCCATATAAATAAACACATATCTTTTTTTATAATCCGAGACACAAAAATGCAATTAGTAAATTTCAGCAAAAGTTTTAGTTGTCTTAAATAAATCTCAGGAGTGTATAGTAGATTAGAGTTCGTAGATTCTGTTTTGAGATTATATTTTAGGTGTAGCGAAATAATATCACTGTAGTTGTATCAGGAGATTAAAAAATTACATAAAATTGTTTCATATTATGGACAATTTATTGAGTTAAAAAAATATATCAAATTTCACTCCACAAATTTCTCTATTTTCCTTACGATTTCTTAAACATTTACTAAATTTTATATTATCATTTATATGATTTCTGATTCCTGATTTCAATCAGGATTTTTACAGTCTTACAAAACTACCTTTACACTTGTGAATTATGGTACTACGTTTCCACACTTCAGCTTAAGACAGTGGTTGTTTTTTCTTTGAATATTAAGAGGTTCGGGCCAAAACTCTTAATCCTCCGAGTCGGAAACCATAAGATGTAATATTAGTTTCGTATCAGTTTATCAGTTCTTGTTATGAAAATTCAAACTTTGTTTTGAATCTTGGTTTTGCAATAATGTAAACAAGCAATTACGTTGTTAAATGAGAACAAACAACGAGAACAAAATGAATTCCAAATACAACACAAACGAGGAGACTTGTGTTTGATAATGTATTGTCTCAAGTCTCAGCATCAATCATACACAGAACTGGCGAGCCAAAAGGAGTATTCACTACAGACATGTTGGACAAATGATCAAGATATCGAAACGTCAAGAAAACCGTTCATAATAGTTAGCAAGGAGAAAGAAAATAGAATCAAATAAAAGGCCACAACACATAATCTCCTGTCAGAGGTATTTTGTGACAATCTTAGCTTCTCTCCTTGATTACGGTAAGGGCTTGATTCGAGTATCAACCTTGTTATGCTGCGCAAGTCATCTCTGCTCGACTCTACTGATATTCTTACGATCTCTGCCATGCTTCCCGTACTTATGAAATCGTTGTCGTTTTCCTCTGCATTGAAAAAGAGGAGATGTGCATATTAGTCATATGTCTCTCAACAACATGAACTTTGGATAAAATCTAGGTATGCTCTAAGAGAGAAAAAACATGGAGTCAGCTTTAATATAGCCAAAACAGGCTTACCATTTTGAGCTAAGCGGCAAAGTGCAAGGTCAATGTTATTTTGTATTGATGCTGAATCAATATGCGAGTTTGAAGTCAACCATTCAAGAATACCCTCTTCCATAAGACGAGAACGACCTTTTCTACGCCCTGTGATGCATAAGACCCATTAATGTATATTAACAAAATTGACTTGGATATATGCATTTTATAAGATATATTAGTAAACAAATATTTGACTACAAAACCTTGATTAATTTCGTGGATTTCACAATTTGCAAAATTTGCCATCCCTCTTGCCACTTGAGCAATGATACTTAAGTTTCCGGATTGCGCCATTGTGAGTAGCGCCTTGATGCATCCCTCTTCTTTCAGCTGCTCAAGAAGCCTATCTGTTATGTGCCAAACAGAGCAATATATAGAGTTTATATACGTACTCAATTAGAAACCCAACACAAAGCTTTTGTTCAGATTGCTTTTGCATATACTATACAGTTAAGACATGAATTGACTATCCCATGTAAACCAGAATTCTTTTATGAATATGGATAGTTGATAATACTAAAAAAAAGAATAGATGCATTGTCTGAAACTGGAAAGTCCTCAGAGCCAAAATTATAAATCTGTTGCTCACCGTTTCCGCATAAATTGGCAAGTGCACCAGCTACCATTCTCAGAATCTGTGGATCATCTGTTTTGGTCACCATCTTTGCTAGCAGTTTAGCACCACCTTTATTCATTATTAGATGTTGATTCTTCTCTGCAGTAAATGAATCATCCATATATAACGAAAAAACCATATAATTGAAACAAATAATCTATAGTTTATACAACTTATAAGAACCTAAATAGTACTGAAAAAAGCCTTAATTTCCTTCATGCAGACATATCATAAGAAAAAAATGACAACCATATGAGACCACCGAAAGTCTAAATTGGCCATGCTTCTTAGTATAGTAAGTTTTAACTGGTTATGAGCAAACAATATCATAGAAGTAGTTGAACCAGCAATAGAAGTGCTTACCATCCATGGCCAAATTAGCAATTGCACAAGAAGCGGCTTTTTGAATTTTTGAATTTTGAGATGACTGAAGATGCATAAGCAAAGCTTCTACACCTCCTTCCTTCGCAATATTCACCTGGATAGATTCTAAACACACACACAGAGAGAATCTAAGTCATTTAGGTACCATGACACATGATATATAAGATGAAATCATTATTGAGAATCCACTTGTAATGATGGAGGGGAGTAAAAGTTGAGACTATTGACACATGCTAGCATATAGAAGATGAAATCACTGACTTTCACCGGCAAGACTAGCTACCACTTCAATGGCCATGCTTTGAACTTTCACGTCTTCGGACTTAATCAGGCTTAATATATTATGCAATCCAACTGAAATTTAAGTAGAAAAGAAGATGTAAATTGGATTATCCCACAATGAAACCGAGCTAAACTCACAAGAAATAAGTATATATGCCTTCTTCACAAAGTCTTGCTATATTAGCTCTTGGATCAGATAAAGATTTTTCTAACTCTTGTAATCTCTGTAAGTCTATATGAACTCCAGATTCTGATGATCCATTTGGAATATCTCCCTTCACAGGCTTGTCCTGTGAAATGAAACCGACTTAATTAGCCAGATCTCGGAGCAGATCATCATAGTCTAATTTTACTCTCTGGAGCTCCTCTATCGAATCATAAATTTGGGAAAGTTCTTGCATAAATTTCTGCAAGAGCTGAAGCACAAGATACAATATATAATTAAAAAAAAATAGACAAACAAAATCTGTGAGGATAAACATGAAGCTTATTAAAACCTAGTTTCAAAGACCAGGAATAAGCCTATATAACCTGTGATGAAGCTTCGCCATCACTTATAATGCCTTTTATTTGTCTAAGTTTCTCTTCTGCTGAGTTGGACCGAGCATGTTCATCTTCCAATTCCTTCTGCAGCTTCGCGATTTTAGACTCATACCTGTAAGTGGCGTCATCCTCAACCCTCTGAAACCCTCAAGATGTAAGCATCAATCACTGTACGTAAAACGAAAGAGTATCCAATGAACTAGAAGAGACAAATACCTTGAACCTTGTAACCGAGTTCTTTTCTGCTTCTGCTAAGGTGTTTTCACATTCTCTCAATCTTTTCTCCAACTCGTGTTTCTCACTTTCTCTTAGCTTGGTTTGTCTTTCAACTTCTGCAGTAAGATGATATACCTGAGCCTCAATCTTCTGACACCAACTTTCATGATCAATTTCTTCTTTAAGCTTTACCATGTCAACTATTTTTATTGCCTGTAAAAGCAAGACACAACCAATAAGAAGGCATCACGTTCCCTACAAAAATTCTCTGAAAGAAATTTCTACTAAAAGTCAATTAAGTGATTTAATTAATTGATTTTTTACAAGCTTTAAAATTAGTTATTAAAGTTTGATTGATTAATGTATTTCTTATTTTTGATTTATTTAATTTAGTTCTAAAAAATAAACCAGACCGACAAGCCAATTGAGCTATATATATATATCTAAGAAAAAATATTAAAAATTCTAATTTAATTTAAGATTTCGGAAAGAAGGTAAATAAAATTTGAGAAAATTTGAAATTTTAAAATTTTAATTTTAAGGAAAAAAACAAATTTGTATTTATTTCAGAAAATAAACTAAATTCCTTATTTAAAACTTAAAATTTTTATCACAAAATTTAAGATTACAGACAATTCTTGAGTTATGTTTATTCCTCAAACACCAAATAAAATTAGATTTTTAGTAGTTTTTTTTTGAAATTTTAGAGAATTTTTAAAATTTGTCTGAAAATTATTAGTATTTTTATTAAAAAATATTAAACTAGGCATATTTTAAAAATTTTATATATTAAAATAAGAAAATAATTAGTTAGGATATTAAACTGGGTAGCGAGAAAGTTTGGGTATTGAAAGATGGTCGCCAGGTTTCTTCTAAACTCGCAGGATGGAAGAGAAAATTTTTAAGTTTGGCGGGAAGGATAATTCTTACAAAGTCTGTTCTATGTACGATCCCGGTTCATACGATGAGCACGATAGCTCTCCCATCATCGACTTTGGACCAAATCGATAAGATCGCTAGGTCTTTTATATGGGGAAGTAGTGAGGGAAATCGTACACAACATTTGGTCTCATGGGAAAATGTTTGTCAACCAAAGAAAGAGGGTGTTCTTGGTATAAGAGCAGCAAAAGAAATGAACCTTGCATTGTTAGCGAAATTTGGATGGAGATTGTTGAATTCACAAGAGGGCTTATGGGTTCAGATTTTGAGAAATAAATTTCGGCTGGGTGAGTTATATTATTCATCATGGTTGACAGTTCAGGGACGATGGTCACTGACTTGGAGGAGTTTGATTAGGGGGATTCGAGAAGTGGTTGTTCCAGGTGCAAGTTGGGTACTGGGAGATGGTCTCCAGGTCTGCTTCTGGAAAGATAAGTGGTTGGCAAATGAGCCTCTTCAAGAGTCGAGTATGGTAGCTATCCCTGCAGAGTTACGGGAAGCAAAGGTCCGAGATCTATGGCAAAGTGGAAGAGGCTGGATATCTCAGGTAATTGATCAGTACTTGCCGTTACAGATGCGATTAAGATTGCCTTCAGTGGTAGTGGATGATGTTACGGGGGTGTGGGATCGAATGTCATGGGGGGGGGGAGGAGAAGGATGGACCATTATTTGTAAAGTCTGCTTACGCTTTTTTAATCATGGATGTGGCTCCAAGACCTAACATGGAAGCTTTCTATAAACAAATATGGAGAGTTGTCTCCCCGGAACGAGTTCGAGTTTTCTTATGGTTGGTGGCTCATCGAGTAATCATGACGAATATGGAGCGTAAACGCAGGCATTTGAGTGAAAGTGGAATGTGTACACTGTGTAAGAATGGCGATGAGACTATTCTTCACGTTCTCCGGGACTGTCCGGCGGCTGCTGGGAGATGGATGCGAATTGTAATCCCAAGTAGACAGCAATGGTTCTTTAGTCTATCTCTTCTAGAGTGGCTCCATGATAATCTTGGTGGGGGTGCGTACAGGAATGGTGATATATGGCCAACACTCTTTGCCTTGACGGTGTGGTGGAATTGGAAATGGAGATGTGGCTATGTTTTTGGTGAGATAGGAAAATGTCGAGATAGAGTGTGCTTTGTTAAAGATAAGGCTCAGGAAGTGATACTAGCAAACGAGAGCCTGAGAGGTCACTCGACTGCGGGGATACATGTTAAGAAGCAAATATCATGGTATCGTCCCGGGATCAGTTGGATCAAGTTGAACATGGACGGAACTTCTAGAGGTAACCCTGGACTAGCTACTGCAGGCGGAGTCATACGGGGATGAACACGGGGAGTGGAGAGGGGGTTTTGCGATAAACATTGGCATCTGTTCGGCCCAGTTGGCGGAGCTGTTGGGGGGGGGTATAATATGGCTTGTGTATTGCATGGGATTACGGTATTCGCAGGTTGGAGGTGGAGGTTGATCATGAGAGTGTGCTGGTTTTTCTTCGGACATGGATTCATAATTCTCATCCCCTGTCGTTCCTAGTACGCTTGTGCTATGGCTTCATATCAAGAGACTGGCTAGTCAAGTTTTCTCATGTGCATAGAGAAGCTAATCGTCTTGCCGATGGATTAGCTAACTATGCTTTTTCTTTACCTTTTGGTTTACATTATTTTGAGATTATTCCGGAGGCTGTTGCTCCTGTTTTGTGGGAGGATTCTAATGGGGTCTCTATACCTCGTCATGTACACTTGTAGTTGTTTTTGAGTTTTTTGAATAAAAAGTAGGGGACTATCGTCTCCTGCCTCCTACCGAAAAAAAGAAAGTTTGGGTATTAACAAATTTAACGAAATTTAGTTGGGATATTTTTTATAAAATTCCCCTACATATATTAAATTTTTAACTAAAAATTAGATAAACAGTTTCAAGTTTTGAATTTGAATTTCATCAAAAAATCAAAGGTTTACAGATTATAGATCTGAAGTTGAATTTCAGGCTCACGTTATTATATTAATTAAATTAATTTAAATTATTTATCGTATAGATTTTTTCCTACAAATAATGAATAACCTAAATTCTATGAATCCAAATTCAGTTTTACAAAGAAAAATGCATAAGATGCACGAGTTTTTAATAATAATCACATGCCATATCGACTATATAGATGGCGTGTCTAAAAGTTTTAATCCATCCAAGCTATTCCAGTTACAATTGTTCAAAATGTCACAAAGCTTTCCACTAACCAGAATTATTAGGTTATTTGTGTCAAATTTTGTATGTTTGGCATGAAAATAACCTTTATGGTAAATTACTCCACTCCATATCAGCCAAAGAAAATGTCTAGTGTTTTTAGCAATTATTATCACACACACATATATATATATATTTATATTTTCTAGAAATCTATTATTTGTGTTATCCTTACATATCATTTTAGCATATATTATTGAGATGAGTCAGTAGCATGTAATATTAATAAGTTAACATTTGGAAATCAAAAAGTTTCAACACTACTTATCATAATTTTTTTATCATATTGTAAGAAATTAAATTGAAGCATATATATTAACTATTTTTATTAGGTTGTTGACAAAAAAATCTGATAAAAATTACAAAATCATACTTATAATGTTTAAACGTAATAAAATAATTAAATATATATAAAATCTGATTAAACATAAAATATATAACCAAAAAATTTACATCTATACTATTATTTAAGAAGTAAACTTGCTGATTTGTCAACTTTTCTATGATTTTAGGTAATTTTTCTTATTTTTCATATTTTAATATTATATATAGTTTTATATATAATTTGTTTACAATTAAAACAAATTTATATTAATAATACCATATTTTTAGAAAATAAGATAATTCTTGAGTATTATGTTGTTATCTTCAAAATATATTATCTACTATAAAACTTAAACTTTAAACTCAGATATAACAATTATTATATTTATTATATAATTAAAACGAATTTCTATTAATAATATTATATTTTCAAAAAATAAGATAACTCTTATGTATTATATTTGTATCTTGAAAATATATTTTCTATTATAAAACTCAAAACTAAGATAGAAAAATTATCTATTATTAATTAAATATAAATCATCAAGCAAAATTATTTGAAAGGCAAATTTACTAATTTGTCAACTTCTCCAAGATTTTAGATAATTTTGATCATTTATCATAATTTCTCTAATTTTATTTATTTGTGAAGTTTTTAATATTTGATATATAATTTATTATATAATTAAAATAATTTATATTAATAATATAATATTCTTATAAAATACGATCCTTAAACTTATCTTTCAAATTTTTATATTATTAAATTTTTAAATTAACATATAAAAATTAGAATTAAATATAAATCAAGCCTAGGTATCAGAGTCACGTTCTCCATTGTCTTTAGCTGAATCATTAATTTTAATAAATAATTTAATTAGATTTGATTAAAGTTTTGATATCTATAATAAATCATTATATAATTCATTATTTTATTGTTTACAAAATAATATTATAAAAATTATCTCAAAAAAATGAACAACGTGTTTGGAAAAAAGGGAAGATAGTTCTCCTATTTATTTTGTGTTTAGCTACATCTTTTTTTCTTGTTTGTTAATTTTTGTAATTATTAGTATATATAAACATATAATAATTATATTTATATGGACACTAAAATATTAAAATATTTTAATAGAAAATAACAAAAAAGATTTATATTTGTATTTAAACTTTATATGTCATGGCAATAACAAAGAATTTGATTTATATTTTTTTTGTTAACGTGATTTTTGGGGTATTTTGACTTTTATTCTTATTTTTCAATTGCAAGAATACCATTTAGTTGATATTTAAGTTGAAAGCTTCAATTTTTTTTCCTTTTTTACAAAAATATTTTTTGTTGAGAATTAAATTATCCTTTTAAAGTATTTTCAAATTATCTTCTTCTATAAGAGAATACTTTCAAAATATTAATTTTTTATTTACAACAAGTGTCTTATATTTATAAAATATAATTATTTTAACACTGTTTACTTTTATTTATGCAAATGTTTCACAGAATTTATAAATTTGTCCAAATTAAAATTTCTGTAAAGACTTTTATGTAAAGAAAGTTTGCTCTACTTTTTTAGTTACAAAAACTGTATTTTTAAAATGATTTATTTTTCTTATAGTTGTTAAAGTTTGAAATTTTAAAAACCATTTGAAAATAACAAATTATGATTTTATAATAAAGAAATAATATTTTATAGGAAAATA